CCCCTCGAAATGCTTCTGAGACTTAAGATCAGAAGGAAAAAAGACATCCAGCGAACTCTGGATTCACCTCCGCGTTTTCACCCCCCCGCAGCTCTCGTCTCCCCCAGACGCTCAAACCTGTGAAAATCCCGTTTTTACCGCCGACTTCAATCGGTCTTCTGCACCTTTACCACCGGCTCCGTGGTGGGTTTTACGTTCAGATTCAGCCTTAAAAGCAGCAGCAGATTTACAGCTTGCTAGAAAAGCTGAAGCTTCCCGGCAGGAGCGTTTTCCTGGGTGGAACTTTTCAGACTCCCACAGAGGCTTTTCCAGTTAGGTGGTCCGTGTTTTCCACATAAAGGCTCAGCATCGTGGATCTAAACCCCAACATCTTAACAATAACGTGACTTTAAGAGTAGAACCTGGTCCTCCTTGGAGAAGGACCTGAACCCATCCTTTGGAGTACTCAGTTGAACCCCCAAAGACCTTAACCAGACTGAAAAAGTTTTATAATAAGGATGTTGGGTGTGCAGGTCTTTGGGGACTTGGGAGTTCCAGGAGAAGGGGCCTAACCCTAACCTAACCCTAACCCTCACAATCACCCTAACCTAACCCTAAGCCTAACCTAACCCTCACCCTCATCCTAACCTTAACCTAACCCAATCCCAATCCCAACTTTAACCCTCACCCTAACCCTAACCATGGGACTTTCAGTGCTCATTCAGCTGTGTGAGACATGTGACTTAGGTCACCGGCTTCTCAAATCCACCTTTATGCCTTTGAAAACTACGGTTTCATCTAAATCTGTCAATCCTTATCCAGGAGAGGCTGGGAGTGAGGAGACTTTTTCCTTGTCAGAAACTTTTCCCTGTCAGAGACTCTTCCCTGTCAGAGACTCTTCCCTGTCAGAGACTCTTCCCTGTTACAGACTCTTCCCTGTTACAGACTATTCCCTGTCAGAAACTCTTCCCTGTCAGAGACTCTTCCCTGTCAGAGACTCTTCCCTGTCAGAGACTCTTCCCTGTTACAGACTCTTCCCTGTCAGAGACTCTTCCCTGTCAGATACTTTTCCCTGTCAGAGACCTTTCCCTGTTTGAGACTCTTCCCTGTCAGAGACTCTTCCCTGTCAGAGACTCTTCCCTGTCAGAGACTCTTCCCTGTTACAGACTCTTCCCTGTTACAGACTATTCCCTGTCAGAGACTCTTCCCTGTCAGATACTTTTCCCTGTCAGAGACTCTTCCCTGTCAGAGACTCTTCCCTGTCAGAGACTCTTCCCTGTCAGAGACTATTCCCT